AAAAAAAAAAAAAAAAAAAACTATACTGTTAATATAGCCACTCTAGGTTTCCTTTGATTTAGCATCAACATGGTATATCTTTTTCCATTCTTTTCAAGCTGTCTCTGGGTTTGTTATAGTTAGCATACAGTTTGGTCTTGCTTTTTATCTAACTGAATCTGTCTTTTTTTTTTTTTTTGTGACTGGTAAGGGGATTGCAACCCTTGGCTTGGTGACGCCCGCACCGCGCTCAGCCAGTGAGCGCACCGGCCATTCCTATATAGGATTCGAACCCGCGGCGGGAGCGTCATTGTGCTCCCAGCGCTGCACTCTCCCGAGTGTGCCACGGGGTCAGCCCCTAACTGAATCTGTCTTTTAATTAGGTATTTACATTTAATTTGACACTTAATGTAATTATTGGTATAGTTGGATTTAAATCTACCAGGTTACTATTTGTTTTACATTTATTCCATCTGTTTATTCCCTTGCCCCTCTTTTATCTGCCCTCTTTGTTTTTGGGTAAATTTGTTGTTTTTATGATCCTATTTTTATTTCTATCTGTATATGATATCTATTTTTATCTTCTTGGCTACACTACTTCATTTTGTGTGTGTGTGGTTGCTTTGGGGATTATAGCATACATCTTCAATTTATCACAGTCTGCCTTGAAGTGATATTATACAGCTTCACAGTGATATTCTTCCATTTCCCGCTTCTTGGCCTTTGTGCTATTATTTGTCATATTTTATTTCTATATGAGGTTTAAACTCCATAAGAAAAATTATTTTTGTTTTAAACATTCAATTATATTTTTAAAATATGGTAAAAGCCTTTTATATTTGCCCGCATATTTAGCATTTTTGATGTTTTTTTTTCTTTTGTGTAGTTCCAGTTTTCCACTTAGTATTGTTTTCCTTCTGCCTAACAGAATTCCTTTAACACTTGTATTAGTGATCTGCTAATATTAATTCTCTCAGCTTTGAGTGTCTGAAAAAGTATTTTGCATTTTATTTTTACAGTTTTATTGAGATATAATTGACATAAAAATACAGTACTCATTTAAAGTGTATAACATAGGGGCTGGCCAATTAGCTCAATTGGTTAGAGCATGGTGCTGATAACACCAAGGTCCAGGGTTCAATCCCTGTACTATCCAGCCACCAAAAAAAATTTTTTTTAATTTAAAAAGAGTGTATAATTTGACAAGGTTTAACATATATTAACATATTCATGTTCTTAACCCATGAAACCATCATGACAATCAATAATGAACATATCCATCACTCCCCAAAGTTTCCCGTGCCCCTGTGCAAACCCTCCCTCCTTCTCCCAGACCTGCAACCCCTAATCTGCCTTCCTGTATTTTTTTTTTTTTTTTTGTCTTTTTCCGTGTCCGGCAACGGATCGCAACCCTCAATGTTGCCCCCGTACTGGACCGGGACCGGCAACGGGATTGCAACCCTCGGTGTTGCTCCCGCGCCTCGCTCAGCCAGTGAGCGGGAACCGG